CTTGCCCTTACTCGAAAGTAAAGGTTGTTTCCAAGAAACCCCTAGCTCAAGTACAATCAATGTAACCCCTCAAAGAGGACACAAAGCACAATCATAGTAGCAAAGATCAACAAGCAAACTAATGGCACATAAAAGTGCATAGAGATACAAAGCACACCAATCAACACTAGCAACAAGACCCCAAGCACAGGGAGCACAGAAAGACAAAAGCAAGAAGCACACACACCAAACTACCACAAGACCTAGAAGATTATCCTACTACTCTAGTCCTATATCTGTAGATGTTCTTATCTAAAGTCATATTTGTCATATCCTTGGTAAGATCTAGAAGTCTTAAGGTCTGGCTAATCAACTCATTCCAACTCTTCCCAAGTCTACCCCTTCTCCCACTTCTGCCTGCTAACGAAAGCCTCTCGTATCTTCACATTGGGGCCTCTGCACTTTTTTGCTTTACATGCCCAAACCACCTCAGCCTAGCTTCCCGCAGCTTATCCTCCACAAGTGCCACTCCCACCTGTTCCCGTATAACCACTTTTTGAATCCTATCTAACCTTATCGGCCAACACATCCATCGTAGCATCCTCATCTCTGCCACATGAAGTTGACAGACGTGAGTTTTCTTTACCGCCCAGTGCTCTGCTCGGTAAAGCATAGCGGTTTGGCTACTGACCAGTAGAATGTCCTTTTCATGCTAGCCGATAATTTTCGTGTTGCACAGAACATCTGAAACAAGCTTTCACTTTGCCGAAGTGGCTCCAATACGATGAACAACATCCCCATCTTCATCTGCGTGAATGACCATTGACCAAACCAAAACACCAAAACTTGTCTCTCTTAGGTGCTGGATGTGATTCGATCCTAATTTTCACTCCCGACTCTGTCCCTCGACCACTAAAGCGACATTCCATGTATTCAGTCTTAGTCTTGCTCAATCTGAAGCCATTTTGCAAATCAAGCATTATATAACGTAAATTATTTTAGCTATACAATGTTTTATGTTCGCTCCGTATATTTATATGATTTATAAGAAGTGAATAGGAACCAAGTGTTTCTAGAAACAACTGAATTGCTCTTTCAAACTAACTTGTAATGATGGTATGCAGACTGGACATGAATTAGTTGTTGGTTTGCATTATATACTGCACATTGCTTTTAGCTTTGCCTTAGTCATTTCCCCCCTCGGAGAAGAATATTATTTATCACCAGTAACTATTTTGTCATGTTTTTAAACTTTACAATAATTTTGGTACATATGTTTGTTTTAATTGCAGGACATTCATTGAAGACTCTGGAGCTGGCATAAAGATTTCTCCTCAAGACAACAGTTTGCCTGGGTTCCATGATAGGTTAGTGACTGTTACCGGCACTCTAAATGAACAACTCAGAGCTACTGAATTGATTCTACATAAGTTGGCGGAAGACACTTCATATATGCAGGCCATGGATGCCCCCTTTTCATATTCAGGTTTGAGATTCATTTTTTAATTCTCACACTTCCGAATTCTTCAGGTTTGAGATTTGAATAGCAATGGTTACAAAAATTAGAGCACAGAAATGCTGTAGTTTCTCTGTGTCTCCATTTTCAATCTGGCTAAAGTTTGAGTCGTTTACTCCAAATTTTCTACTACTTTTGCAGCAGTTTATATGGGAATGAACTATGTGCCAAATGGAGTTGGAGGGAGATTTCAGAATAATAGATATCATCAAAGCAAGGTCAGACATTCTTCTGATTTTATTGCATGTTCGATGTTATTCTCTCTTACACCTTAAATTTATGAATCAAGTTGTGTTTAGAACTTTGGCCAGTTGCAGGAGGATATGAGCGACTCTGTGACTATCGGTGTTGCAGATGAGCATATCGGATTGGTGCTGGGACGGAATGGAAGGAACGTTATGGAGATAAGTCAGGTTTGTGTTGTGTGTGTGAAGCAAATGAGAAATGATCTCATGCGCCTAACCAATGCTTCAGGCCTAAATTCTCCAAGCCATTAAGATCAGCCACACCATTTTAAGCCCGTCAACTGATGTAATGGCTTGGAGCAGATTTAGTCAGGCGCCCCTGATTTTCATAGTTGTGCTAAGACTTTTTTTTTCTTCCCTTTGCCAGCTTAGTGGAGCGAGAATAAAGGTCTCCGACAGGGGCGATTTCATATCTGGGACTTCTGATAGGTATGTGAGACCGTTGGAATCTCCTCTGATCTTCTCTCCTTGCTTTCTTGAACTTGAGAAAAGACTGTGTTTATCATGCTGAGCTGTTTTGCAGGAAGGTGACTATCACCGGGTCCCAAAGAGCAATTCGTACAGCCGAGTCTATGATCTCTCGGAAAATAGCTTCCGTCATTCAGAGGTAATGGAAGCTTTCAATTCATACCATAGCTCCTTCCTAATGGTCACTTTTGTTACTTGAGGCGAGCCGTAAACAGCTCTGATCTGAAGCAAGGAGAGCCGGGGGGTTTTTTTTTTTGTTGTTGGAAAGAAAAGCATTATGTTATTTCTGGGAATTCTTTTAGGAACAAAGCTTTCAGGCATATGTCTAATTTAATCGACAAGATATTGATAGTGGGTGAGTGGTACATCTGATAGTAGCTACTGAGATTACTTCCAGATTATAAACAAATAATAACAATTATCTTTTTAATTTATAATTTTGAGAAATCTTTTTCTTATGAGTCTATGATGTGGGGTCATTCAAGGGACCCGATTCATTCTTGTGCATTCACCGGATTTTTCTGCACATCGAAGTCCATACCTAAGAAGAGCATGGAGACCCACTTCTATTGCAAAATTGAGGTCACTTTGTTCTATTATGTACTTTTATGCTTTGATGATCCCGGCTTTGGCTCTTTTTTATTAAAAAAATTATCTTTCTACTTCTTCCAGTCGATTTAAAAATGAATTTATATATGGTTAATGTAAAATAAACATATGCAAATTTATAACATATCATCTCATACACAAGGATGGGTTCTTTTTTAAATGCAAAATTAGTGTTTTCTAACATATTTATTTGGGTGATTATTTTATTAAATCATTTTTTCACACTTTAATTCTTCTAATATTTTCTTATTCCTTCAAAATTTTTTTAATTTTTTTTAGTTTCTCTCAACTTTTAGATTTTTCTAATATCTAACTCTGAAATTTCAATTTAAAAGAATAAGATCTTAATAGTGTAGTAAACAAGATCTTAATAGTGTAGTGTTTGCCCTAGAAGCAATGTTTCCGCTTGAAATCAGTGTCTGCACAAACAAGATGATGCGACCCCTACGAGGGCTGCATGGTAACCCACATTGCGAGTTGATAATTTGATTCCGAGGATTTTCCAAAAACAATTTGTTACTCGATAGACTTTAGCCTAACAACAAGAAAGGTATGATTTAAAAGCTCATAGTATTTAACTCCCACACTCTTACGAGACACATCCGTAGCAACACAAAAAGTATGATTTTACAACTTACAAGTTGAAACTTTTGCAAATCTCACAAGTCTGGGTCAAGAAAAACACTCAATTTTAATTCCATTCAAACTTCCAATGAAGTAAATGCAGCCTATTTGTAGAAATGATTAGCTCATCCTTAATTCTCCAATGGAGTAAATACAACCTATTTATAGGAATGATACACGCTAAGCCACGAACTTACAAGACAAAACAAAAAATTTATTTTACAAATCAAAAAATAGTAAAGATTTTTACAAAACAAAGAGAGTAGAATATAAATTTTTTTTTATTTACCCTAACATTTATACTCAAACATATTGTGAAATTAAGAAGGCCATCATTTGCCAAAAAGAATAAAAAAAATAAAATAAAAAAGGGATATATTTATTAAAAGAATTTTAAAAGGACTAAAAACAAATGGACAAATTGTCCAGAATAATCTCACATAAACCCAATTTTCAAAAATAATCTCATCTTTCACTGTGATGCATAATAATCTCACATTAACTAAAATTTGCGTGTTTTAAATTGCTGTGAAGCTGCTAACGATTGGTTAATAGAAATGGTCTGTTCGGGCAATAACATGAAAGGTGATTTTTTTCCCATAAGTTTTCATATTCAATTTTTTAAAATTTTTCTTAAGTTTTTAAAATGACTTTCTCCATTTTTTGTTCTTTTTTAATACTAGTCTTACTTCAAAAAAGAATTTAAAAAATAAATAAAAAATTAAGAAAATGAGAAACACAACTAAAATCATAAAAAATAATGAAATAAAAAGGCAATCAATAAAAACTAACCTAAAACTGCTAAGAAATAAAAGTAAAAAAATACGGAGTGGTGGGTTCTGAAGTTTTAGGCACTATACGAAGTATTAATGTATAACTTCCTCCCGTTGGTAAAAATGAGAATAAAAATAAAAACTATGAAAATAAAAAAATTATTTTCTTATTAAAATCTTAAAAATTCAAAATAAAAATAAAAAATGGAAATTGGGAAAATACTTTCTTACATTAACGTATTCTGTTTTATTATTTTTTTATAAAAATTTTTTTTCCTTGGGATTTTAATAAGAAAATAATTTTTATTTTTTATTTTTATTTATTTTTTTCGTTATTCCAATGAGAGAAGTAATACATTAATACTACGTATAATGCCTAAAACATTAGAACACACCCCTCCATATATTTTTGTTTTTAGTTCTTACGAGTTTGAGTTTAGTTTTTATTGATTATCTTTTTATTTGATTATTTTTTATGGTTTTAGTCGGGTTTCTCATTTTTATTATTTTTAATATCTTTCTTTATTTTTTTGAAGTAAGACTAATCTTTATAAAAAAAAGAAAAAAAAATGATGGAGGAAGAAAGTGATTTTATAAATCTAAGGGGAATTGTTTTCAAAAAAAGACTTTATAAAAAATAATGCCACCTTTCATATTTTTCCGAAAAATATGTCATTTCCATACAAGGTTAGATTATTTTTGAAATAATCCCACCCAAAATACACACATTTTAGTACATGTGGAATTATTATGCATGACAACAAAAAGTGAGATTATTTCTAAAAGATTCAATAAATGTGTAATCATTCCGGATAGTTTTTTTTCAAAATACAATTTACTAATTGATGTGGATCAAAACATGCTTTGTCATGCCCTATTTACAATTTTTTTACAAGAAAAATTTAATTAAAAAATGTTGAAGCTAATGATAAAAATTAAAATTTACTTATATTAAAAAGACTAAAAACATATTTAATGTATCGTTCGAAATTAGAATAGTGTAAATAATTTGAAACGAAAGAAATATACTAGTGTTTTTTAGATTAATTAATTGAGTAAAAAGAGAAAAAATGGATAGATAAAATTCAACATAAGATACGTGTGATCTGACAAGTGTCTTATGGATGGCCTTATACTTCATATTTCAATCCAAATGCTCTGCTCAGCGCCTTTCCCTTTTTCTTCCCTCCCTCCAAAACCAGTACCCAGAAAAATCTCTTCTCAACGAAACCCGAAATCGCTCTCTCTCATTCTCTCGTCGGCCGACAACCACCATGGCGGCGGCGATAGAGCTCAGTTGCTCCTCATTATCTTCTCACGCCGTTAAAGATTGCTCCTTTAGCTCTTCAAATGCCCATAAGCGGCGTTTGAATCTTCTTAGGCCTGTTCCTCGCAATACCCATTGTGCCAAAGTTTGCTCCTCTCTCACCTCCAAGTAAGTTTATTGAATGGATGGGTTTCTTCGATTCGATAGTTCTGCCACCTTTTCTGCATCACTTTTCTTGTGGGATTGTTTTCTTTGGCGCAGAGAAGTCCAAGCTCCGGTGGCCGTGTCGACGGAGGACCCCAAGAAGAAGCCAGAGTGCTATGGAGTCTTCTGTCTCACTTATGATCTTAAGGCTGTAAGTTCATTTCTTCTTCACTGCCTTATTCATTGTTAGATTATGCATTGCAAGTGAAAAGTATGGTGTAACCAGGCCAGTTTGTGATCTCTCCTATTTATGTCAGAGAGTTGGATCCTTTTGTATATTAACTCTCTTGCCTATCTGAGATCTCTATACTTTCTCTTGGTTATCTAAACGACTAATGTGTTGTGATTTGATTTAGCCAGTTATTTACCTGAAGCTAAAATGTTATAGAAAATGACTCCTTGATCTCCATTGGCAATGGGCACAATGGCACATTTACATTCATTTATATTCCCACCGTCTCATAAGAAAGTTCATGGTTTGACTATCACATTGTTTCAGAACACTGTTGAAAAGTGAAATATGTGTAGCCGAAATTTGTTTAGACGAGAGGCTTTTTGTGACCCACTTAATCATCTTTTTGAAGGAGAAGAATTAAGTAGGGAGTTTTCTGGGACATTCAAGGAGCGGAAGTAGAAAGATTTTTGTGGGACGGAGAAGTATAATTTTTAAATTTGTAATGTATATGTCATAAACCTTTCACAGGAAGAAGAGACAAGATCTTGGAAGAAAATGATAAAAATTGCTGTTTCTGGCGCTGCTGGAATGATTGCTAATAATCTCCTTTTCAAGGTGACATTCATATTTCTCTCTTCTACATGAAGCACAAAGTATAGTTGTCAAGCCTCGGGGTGTTCACTGTTTCTCTATCTTAAACATTAGTGTCTAAGGTAAAATCATAAGTCCTAAGGATATGTATTGCTGGTTTTCCAGCTAGCAGCAGGCGAGGTTTTTGGACCAGATCAGCCCATTGCTCTGAAACTGTTGGGATCTGAGCGCTCACGGGAAGCTCTGGAAGGTAGTACTTTCTATGATTGAGTGTAATTGGTTGATCATAATTATTAAGATTTGGGAAATACATATCTGCAAATAAATGTTCCCGGCTGTAAGTTGATGGTGATCTTGTTTGAATTGGAAGATACATAAAAGATGAATGAAAAATCTGATGAAGATTTGCAATCTCGCAGGAGTTGCTATGGAACTAGAAGACTCACTTTATCCTCTATTAAGAGAAGTGAGCATTGGCATAGATGCCTATGAAGTGTTCCAAGATGCCGAATGGGCGCTTCTGATTGGTGCTAAACCTCGAGGCCCTGGAATGGAACGAGCCGCCTTACTTGACATAAATGGGCAGATCTTTGCAGAACAAGTAACTTCTTCTCCATAAATATAGAGATTGAAGGAGAACAAATGTTTTGTTTTGACTTGTAAATTGTAAATAACGGTGGACGAATGATCATTTTATTTACTTCAAATTTTCATACACTATCTACTTGAACACACAGGGAAAGGCTCTGAATGCTGTCGCGTCGCGCAATGTGAAAGTGATAGTTGTTGGAAACCCGTGCAATACCAAGTACTAATATTTTATACCTTTCTATTTTCCTGCTTATATGCCAAGTCCTATGCTACTTGCCACTGCTTTCGGTACTGATTTTCCTTTCATCCTTTCTAGTGCACTGATTTGTTTGAAAAATGCTCCAGACATACCGGCAAAGAACTTCCATGCATTAACTAGGTTAGATGAAAACAGAGCAAAATGCCAGGTTTGCCCTCCCCCTGCCCCACCCACCCACCCGAATGAGCATTGGAATTACTAAGGTTCAATTCTCAGCAAAAAAGATTCTAACCTCTTGTGATTTCTTCAGCTTGCTTTGAAAGCAGGAGTCTTCTATGACAAAGTGTCTAATGTTACCATCTGGGGAAATCACTCCACCACTCAGGTCACTTGT